AAAGAAGCCTTGAGGTCTAGGACGGTGCGCGATGAAGGTCGTCCTTCGATAGTCAGGATCCACTCAGTCTCGGACTTGACGTGTGCTGGCTTCATGATCGGACTTTGATACCAGCCGATCAAGATGCTGATGAAGGGCTTGTCATTCACGTATCCGATCGACTCGTAGGAAACGATTCCTGTCTGGCCTTTCTTAATGGTCATTGCGGGCCGCATAATATCTTCTGGCGCCGGGGCACACTTGCTCGTGGCTTCTATCCTGTCGATCTTGACGCCGAGCTCATAGGCAATGTGCTCGATCATCTGGAACCAAAAGTGCTTCTGGTACCAAATGGCAGAGCCATTCTCGTCCTGTACCTTTTGAGGGTCACTCCCCAGACCAATCACCTGGAGATTACCGGTGTTGGTCTGATCTTCACAGTCAAAATACTCCTCAATCTTGATCCTTTGGACATCGTTAGATAGGCCGGTTAGGAGTATAGCGAGGCGCTGTGTGATGAAGTCAGGATTGAGACCGCCACCGTAGAAAGTGGCCTGGCCTTTGAGAGCTGCTGCCTTGATCGTTTCCGCAAATTCTTTCGACCGTGCGGGAAGGTAACTGTACGGATGACAAGTGACCACGTTTTTTCCAGCCTCAAGGAGCTTCTTGAAGTCCTCCAATGTGTTGATGAATGGGGCGTCGAGCGCCGTATGGACAACCGCATCGCACGGTATGGCCAAAAACTTATCCAGATCGCGAGTGGCCTTCACTCCCAATTCCGCAATCCCAGCAAGGGTACCGATGTCGACACCGTCTTTCTTTTCCTGGAAGACAAGAGCCCCTACGATCTGAAACTCGGGAAGCCTCGCTGCCTCTCGGATCACGACACATCCGACGTCCCCAGGACCGAAAATGGCAATCTTATAAGGATCAGATCGATTCGGCATGGTGGTGGTGTAAGGTGAATATACCGTATACACGGGTCGAAACTACTGTCGTGTGAGCCTCATGTTATCAAGACCCTTTAGGCACTATTAAGTTCTCCCGTTCCTTACCGGCCTACATCGGGCATCAAGATTTCTGTGGTTGCTCGCCAACCCTTAGAATCAATTTGTTCCCGGTGTCCGGAGACAGAATTCCCCTTCCGGACCCTTTTCAGAATGAGCCCGATCTGGCGGACGTTCCAGGGTGTTCTCTATCCCATACTGTTTTGCATTCCCTTTCAAAGCTTTGGGCCTAGAGATATAACAAGCCGAAGATGCTTTGGGGATTTGAACTGGGCAGTGGTCAACAGTCGGGCGTGCCGTCGTTGATCCCGGCGCTCCTGTCTCGTGTGTCAAACATGCTTACAAGATGCATCTTGTGGACCCTGTAATGATGTTCAACTTCCGGTCTGACGCTCCTCTTGCCTAGCGATCCGCGGGAGAGAAAAGTCGAGGGTCTATTCCTGACGCCCGGAGCTCTAAGTCTGGACTTGTCCGAAGACTCCTCTGCGTAGATTTGGATACTCAAGTCAATGATTGCAGACTCTGGCGCGTATGTTCCGGCTGGGTGCGGAAAGCAGAGAGCAGAAGTAAAAGGTCAGGCGTCGTGATATTCAACAACGCCACTGCATATTTTGGTCTGCTTCAACGACGAAACCGTGCTTAGCTGGGCCTGTTCGATGCGCTCTCGCGTGGTGGGTCAGAGTGGTCCAGCTCCTTTTCCTGGATGAAAATAGGGGTGGGCGAAATATAGTTCGGGGGTAACATAATATATGTATATATGCCAAATGCTTATCCTCATCTTATCTGTCTGTCTGTTTTTCTTTATCTCTGTCTGTACCTGTTGCGCCACTGACTAACTTGGTACTCCTCGATGAAACACCCCAGGCTAACACCAAACTCCGTTACTGATGTACTCAATCAACGGAAGCCAGAAATCCAAAGCTGAAAGCGACTGACTGGGATGCACAATCTCGGACAAAAAAATCAATGTGTGCCAATGTCCGGATACGCCGGACTGTGTGGAGTGCTATTATGTAGCCCAGCACTAGCGTCCGTGCCTGCACTCGTGGCCGGCTTGGGAGGAGTTTTCGAGGATGCGTTGTCGCTGGACGGTGCAGGCCCGGTGCTGGTGAGCGTTGTCGCCGAGGCGGCTGCTGGGGGGCCTCTCGGCCCAGAGAGTCCGGATAAGGGTAAGGGAGATACAGCGCCGACGATGGAAGAGCCGGCGCCCACGTCGGTGGCATAGCCCAGGCCTTCGATAGCAGCCATGCTGGGGTCCATGCCGAAATCGAGGTCGGCATTGAGGAAAGCGTCGCCATCGAAGAGCGGGTCCCGGAAGATGGTGGGCATGCTGAGGTCGAAGAAGCCGTCGAACAACTCGTCCAGATTCGTAAACTGCGGATCGTAAATGCCCGGGCCAAACGAGGATGGTACGTCGAGCGCAAACGCGTTTGCACCTGTCGAAGACAATCCACCAAGGGCATTGTGGTGCGGGTTGTTCAGGGCTGATGTTTGAAAGCGGGTGCTTTTGTTGTAGTTTTGGTACTGGAATGCGGATATGGGTGGGATTTGGCTGAATCCCGAGGCATAGCTGTGGTTGAATTGCTGCGACAGAGACGTTTTGGGGGATGTGGTGGTCAAAGGTGATGCTGGTGTGACGTTGGGCATAGCCCTGGCAAAAGGAGCATTCCAAAGACTCTTGCTATGGCTCTTGTTGCTGACGCTATTGTCGCCGCTTCTGGCCGAGGATGGCGACGCTAGGGTCGGGGCTGTTCCGTTTGAATGGGTTGCTGCTGCATCAGAGAGGACATGTAATCCGTTTCCTCCGGGGCCTCCGCCAGAAGATAGGGATTTCGTCATCGCCGGAGTTGTAGTCGCAGACCCTCTGAGCGTCGCAGCTGGCGTGGATGAACTGTGAGAATGGTGTCCTCCACGATGAGCCTTACCCTCAAACGGCCCAAACTTGCACGCAGCGACCTCTGCTTCCATTGCGTTGACGATCCCAGTCACGTCAGCTTTCCTCACTCCTGTTTGTTTCAGAGACTTCAGCGCCTTCCGGCCCAGTCTGGCCATTGCGTCTGCAGTCCACCAGTACATGCTCAGCGCCTCCAATGTCTCACAGCGCGTAGCGAGATCGGCCTGTGCACGATCGGTGTCTTCAAATGCATTGTCACGGAGACCGCGGTATGCAACTGTCAGTGCGAGGCCGACCGCATAGGGCACCAGAGGAATAGGCTGAACAGACGCGTGACGACCGTTAGCGAGGAGTTCTTGGATCCGATCAGCTGCTGATATACGGCGGGCATAAGAGGTCGTGGAAGGGCCACCTGCGCGGCAAGAGAGAATCGCGATGACGTGGTAGCAGAGCTCGAGGATACCTTGGGAAGAATGTTAGCGACACAGAAGGATAGTAGGTCAGGACCGACGTAGAAGAAGTATCATGATCAGAAGAGCCGACTCACTTTGTTCCGAGACTGGAAGTAAGGACAAATCGATACCCTCAGTCAGCGATCGATAGGCTGGGAACTCAGCTTCCCACCCTGTACACTCCGGGTCCGCAGTTGGCCTGTAAAATTCAATGACCTCGTCGAGAAGGTCTCCCAATCTCAGCCACAAATTGATTACATTGCTTCTGGGAACGCCGTTTTCCAGAGGCGGACGTGCGATGTCGATGTCGCGATTTGCGATCACAATTGGCCGCCCACCAAGACAGGCATTGATCTTGTCGAGAGTCCAGATGGTCCACCATAGCATGCTTGATTGGTCTTTGGGGGACCGTCCTGGTGTGTGGACATGAAGACCCGCAGTCCAGGCATCGTGAATTGCTTGCGACAGATGTAATGAGGACTCTTCAATGCCACCTGGTCCATCATTATGTAAATGCATCAATGTCAGAATCTGGACCTTGGTGACTCTATCAGGTTCCAGGTCAGCTTTCATTGCTGCATCCAATCCCGTATGTAAACTCCGGGCGAATGGGATGGGATCAAGAAGTGGTCCGTCATCATAAAGTCGAAGGTATGGAGCGGCCTCCTCAGTCTTGCAGGTGACAAGACATATGGCCTGCATGAGGAATATCGAGCACCGTCCCTCGGTATAGTCCCGAAGCAGTTTAATGCCGTTCAGGATGGGTAGCAGTCCATCAAAGCATGCAATGTAAGTGGTGACCAGGGCGTCCTGAGTCGCCTTGGGCAGAACTCGAAAGGCTCCCACCGCTTGCAAGTAATTTCGTTGATGACCGGTCAGGATCCTTCGACCACCTTCGACCCTGCCATACTTCTCGACATTGAGTGGCGTTTTGTCGCCCGACTTGTGCGGTTGGGGCGGGCCAAGGTCCTCTGGAGGGAGTCCATCTTGTAAGTCGCGAGACTGTTCGACCCAGGTGCCGATTCGACTGATCCTCTGGCTGCCTTGCTTCCTAGACGACAAGTCGGTGAGGATGGACTCGGGGTTCAGGTCTCCCACGAAGCGGATGGGTTCTTTGTGTGTCAGGTTGGGCAGCACCCTGTCAAGCCCATCAGAATCTGCCTGCTGCTCTGGCGGGCGCTGAAAGGTGTGATGACAGCGCTTCTTTGCGGCGCGACATTTCTGACATGCCCGTGCGGCTCTCTTGCGGCTCGCGAAGGCCGCCGTGTCCGCCTCCCAAACAACTTGCATCGAATCCCAAGGGCTCTTCGGGTATTAGATTTTAATGAAGTGAGGGAATTGGTGGGGGCAGAGCCGGCGGCTGATCTGAAAGCAGATATCGCCCCGCGGCACGCTACACGTGACTGGATTATTTTCTTTGCTGTCACCTGACGCACGCACTACGTCATTCAATTTAAATAGTTTCCAGACTTCGACCAGTCAACATTTCAGCCTTGCACGTGCATTGTTACTTCTTCGTTTACGGGGGTGTCTTTTGACATATCAGCAATTACACGTGCGGGATTCAGTTCTCCCACTGCCATAAGAGAAACAGACAAAGGATATGTTGCGTATGATCTTCCCCTAAGGCTCAGCCATATGTGACGTCGACTCCTGCAGAACAAGTCCCTATACCGCCGTCTTCTTCTTGACTAACAATAGCACACCATACACGGCCGCCTTGATCTTCTCATTTCCTTTCTCCACGCCTGCTTCGTGCAACAGCTGCTCAATCTTCTGGCGAAGGATTTTCAGCACGTCCCTCTCCGTGCCAACGTCGTCTGGGTGTGCCTGGCGCCAGCGCGTCTCTGCACTCCCTGTCGCCATCATCTTCTCAAACGTGTCCATATCTGCTTCAGGTAGTCCCACAAAGAATTCTTCACTTGGATCCCACTCCTGCCGGACGAATGTCGTTTGGTCAAACTCGGCAACGGGTTGAGCCAGAGTCCATGGAAGAGGGAGATCAACATAACGGTCTCGCACCAGGAGCGAGCCTGGCTCAAGGTAGGGCTTCATGTTACGCTCTTGATGGTCATCGAAAGCGGCCTGGATGGCAGCAGAATTGGGCATAGACGGATGAGCACGAATGTTGCCACTCGTCCATATGGCAACGGTACCTCCTGGCTTGAGGACGCGTGCAGCGCTGGGCCAGAAGCCCGACATGTCGAACCAGTGAGCGGCATTGGAGGCAGTGATGAGGTCGACGCTAGAGTCTGCAACGGCTGGAGACAGGTTTGCTCCGAGTTCCTCCGCCGTGGAAATTTCAAAACGTGCAGGCTCAGAAGTGGACGAGACGATACCCATCGAGCGAGCGATAGCGAGCATGCCTTCGGAAGGATCCAGACCCAGGACGTGAGCAAAATGAGGTGCAAGCCCTCGAGCCGCAAGGCCAGGGCCGCAACCGACATCAAGAACTGTGTCAAAACCACCCCCAGTTGAGGAGTGGTAGTCGACGACGGCTTGATACACCTTTGGATGGTAATCGCGGCGAACTTGGGCATAGGCTTTGCCCTGGTCCTTGTTATAGGAGCTGAACGTCTTTTCCTTTGGAAAGGGGACAGATGCTGATTGTGGCGCGGCCATGGTGCTTGCGGGCAGCAAAAATACCGTCGTGCGGATTGCTTGTTTTCGGGCTGAAGTTTCGAGAGAGTAGCCCCGCTCAGAACTGACACGCAGAATGAGAAACTGATTTATCCTGCCTCTGCAGTCACACAGTATTGAACCCCAGCAGAAACGAGCATAGCGGAGGTAGATATGAGTCGGTGGGAATGCAGAGTTATTTATCTGCCAACTTTGGAGCAAGGCTGTGGAGGTGGGAGGCCAGCAAATCACAGTGTAGTTTCAAGGCTATTGGACATTCCACTAAGCCTGATACAGGGGACCATTGCGAGACCCCAATCAGCACATCCGGTAAGTCGAGACACCGGGCGTGACGGATGAAAGTATCATGTACAAGTACTCGGTACTTTCACACCGATACCGGCCCACAGAGCTATTGGATGTCCGTGTCCACATGAACTGAGACGTTTTGCCAAAGCGGCATCGGCCATACAGCTCGCCTGCCGCACACCCATAGTAGAACTGATGTGACTAAGTTGCTCCACTGCGAAAGAAAATACGGATAGATCGTTCCTTTCTTCGAGGGCTATGAGAAAAAGCGAGTGCATGAACGGGATGATGCCTGAAAGAAGGAGTTAGCCAGAGGAATTGTATTAAGTGAGCCAAGGGGATACTTGCGTGGAGAATTTCTGAAACTATGCGTTGAGATGCAAATGTCGATGCATAGCTGGCGAATGGTGGAAAGAGCCAGGTCCGTCAGCGCATTATCAGGATTGGGCACACAAGCCTCGTTCTGCAAGATGAGTTGGTTGACGAGGATTCGAGCAGCGCGCCATGAGTTCCATGCCTCTGCGATCCAGAGATTCGGGTAGACATGCATCTTACCAGCAAAGTAGGTGTCATTAGCAGCGTCAGACATAGAGACTGTAGTATATTTCCAACTTGGGGGCAAGCCTGCTCTCCAAGTCTCGAGATCTGCATCGATCTCTAGTGCAGTTGCACGAATTGCTTGGGGGTCTATCGCCCCTTGGTCTTTCATGGCTGCACGGAGGTTGGCCAGTCGAAAACAAATTTCTGTGATAGATCCTGGGCTGGCGATGTTTGCACGCTGCCAATTTTGTCTCAGGTTGCCTGTTTGAAAATTGAAGGTTGCTTTGACTAGAGCGTTGGGGACGGCAACATTCTCCTGCATGCAGGCCAGAAGCTATGGACGGAATCAGACAATAGATCACGCTTGGCGGGAGGAGGGGAGGGGAGCCTGAGAGAGTCACTCACGAGGTACGAGCGAAACTGGACATAGAGCATCCCGCCACGCTCACTGCTGAATTGGTCCTGGCCTCGGAGCTCTAGGACAGCTGCGCCAGCTCTGATGTGAGCAACCCATTCGGGGCACCTATCCAAGGCTTCGCAGTTGATGGTCTGTAGGCAAGTGAGTGAGACCTCCTGACAGTTGGACCGAGATAGCAGTCTAGCTTACCTCGAAGAACGCGAGCAACATGAGAGCCATGAACGTCGTGTCCAAAACGGCTTGGATTGGGTCGTGTAACGCTTTCTGCATGGACGACAGAGCTGCAGAATACTGCGCTCGAGCCTGAGATTTGATTTGTGAAGCGTCGAAGACGTTTGACAGTCCCGCCATGCCTACTGCCTCAATGACCTTCCTCAACACGTTGTTCGGTCCTTGGTCAAAGTAGGACTTGGTCAACCAAGCATGGTGATTATTGAAAGTACAATCTTTGGGAGAGTACTTCACGAAGAAGAAGTTCGCTCCCAGATCATGACTAGATGGCGATGGTGAACGTGCAATGGTCACAGATTGCTGGCGAGATGCGGCGAGGTATTCCTTCCTGGAAGCCGGCGTATTGTTCTGTAAATACACAATAGCAGTCTGTGGTGAGGTCCAGACCATGCTCGAATTTTCCTCTTGACGGCATCTTCGAGCAACCCTGTCGGATTCATCTCTGATCCTGACCTGATCGAGGTTGCGGTAACCAGGACATTTTTGTTTCAATCTCGCGCACTTGAGGCATCCTGGTCTCCCTTCGTCGCACTGGCCAAATTAAGCCGGTCTGCATAAGTCAAACATTGTAAATAGGTCATAATAACTTACCTTGACCTTGCGTTTCCGGCACAGCTCGCAGCCTTTACTAGGAGCACGACAAAATACCATGGCATGGATGATCTTTAACTGTTTAAAGAGCGTCCTCGAAGATTCCGGTATTATCGTCCTCCCTGCAAACCGGTGCTACCAGCCCGGTAAAAACTCACCACCTCTGCTTGGAAAAGGCCAATTGTCCCAGCAGACAGGTAGCGCAGCAGGATGAATTTGTCTCGGTATTATGCGGTACGAAAAATGGTTGGTGTTGCTCTTTTGTTTATTAATTGCTCAAGTGCCTCGTCTCTGTCACCCCCACCGCCCTTAAACAAATTCATGTCTAAATAAACCGCTTGTTCTGCGAACGGCAAACGGAGCCCTGTGGGATGGGAAGACGGTGGTTATATCTCCAATCGTACATACCAAATTACTGTTTGATGTATTCCACGAACATCACCAACTACTACGAGACTGTCCACTCGACATCAATAACTTTATCACTCGGTTGCTCCGACGTCCTAGAATATTGCAAGCAATGTTTCCGTTTTGACATAATTCTCATTCTACCTGACTGCATATGCTCATGACTCTTGACCAAATCCGGTACGTATGGGTAATTGGTCTCATCAGTCGTCCAAGGACGGAGTAAAGATCTAATTCACCATCACCAGGATTCTCGGAGAGCAGTCCAGTTGTCCGCTTGCTCTTTCACAAAAGACCACTTTGCGTTCGTTCCTCGTCTCGGCCACGTGCAATGTTGACTGGTTTCATCCTTCGCATCCTTGGTCGATGCCATCGCGTTTTCTGCTCGATCGAAAGGCTCCAGTAAACCAGTCGCTGGGTGGGAATCTTCGAAACCCAGCTGTACCCGAAGCGCAGAATCTTCATCGGGGTAGCATACCGAAAGGAATAAATAGTCGTAAGCTTAAAACTCCATTCGCCCTTATTGCAGGCAACCCATGAAATACAAGGCACAGGAATGCAGGAAGCGCTGAGACTGTTTACAGCTCATCATGCTCCTGGACACCACCGTCATCAGTATCTGCGAGCATCGTCTTGGCTGCCTCTGCTGCCTCACTAACTACACTCTTGACAGCATCAGCAGCTCCCGAGGTGACTTCTTCAGCCACGGTAGTAGCAGCAGGAGCAGCCTTCGCCAAGGTGTCGCTGACAGTAGATGAAACGTCTTCCATATCGACATCCTCGTCACTCTTCGACAGGGCGATACCATCAACGCCATGTTTGCCGTTGTCCCGGATAAAAGCCGCAAGGTCTTCCATCGTGCGGGAACCTGAGTAGTCAATAGGAGAGTCCTTGGCACCAGCAGGGTACAACTTGATGGTGGGGAAGCCAGCAATCTCATCGGGAACGTCGTTGAGGGTGGCATCGATCTTGGCGACGGTGACCTTAGAGGAAAGTTCGCCGGAGGTGTAGAGCTCTGCGAGCTTCTCATAAGTTGGGGCAAGGCTAGAGCTCGTTAGCCACGGTACTTTGAATGTGCATGAAAACTTACGCTTTGCAGTGTCCGCACCAAGGAGCGTAGAACTCGATCAGCACGTCTTTGGAGTCATCGAGGACGATATCCTTGTACGAATGGGCAACGACGACGGTTACAGGGCCTTCTTGTTTCTCTGGAATGGGCTCGGATTTGATGCTGGGTTCGAGTTTGCCATTGACAAAGTCCTTGACGAAAGCACCAATCTGTTTCTCGCTCAGGTCGTTACCGACGAATGGGTATTTCTCATTCTTCACTGTCTCTTGGATGGCGAAGGAAGGGAATTTGTCAGTTGGCAGGTTCAAGTTGCCAGCATGAGCACCGAATGCTTTAGCATCGATGGTTGCGAAATTGATGACACCTTTGTATTTCTCGGCGACTGGCCTAAGTGCTTCAGCCAGAGACGATCGTTCTTCCGGGGTTTCAGCGAAGATGTAGGCGAGAGGGATACCGGCCTGTCAAACGCATTAGTACAACGGTATGGTGACGGTCAAAGAAATACATACACCCATGTAGCCAGCATAGGTTTCCGGGCCAACTTCACCGACCAACGGAGTCGAGGCGCTCTTGATGAATTTCGAGATGGCCTCCTCATCAAACGACTCGGTGAATGTGTTTTTGCCCTCATCGAAATCCTTGTAGAGCACGATGGCTGGTTGCTTGATGCCTTCTGCCTTGGCAAGTGCGGCATCATTCGAGGCTCCGAAAATGTATTCATCCCTTAGCGACTCGGCGAGAGAAGTAAATGTCTGGTTCGATGCTTTGTCGTCGGCTGCAATGTACGCGACGATGACGACTTTGTCTGTAGTCTTGAACTCCTCGAGGGTATCGGGACTGAGGGTGGAGATGGCAGGTAGCTGCTGCTTGGTCATATATGAGACAATACTGTTCACCCGTTAGTCGCGTACATCTCTTCAGGATTGATGAATGAGTTGTGACTTACGCAGGCGCCTTCCTGGCACCAGGATAAGGCTTGATGTTGTCCAAGCCCCGGAAGACCTTGACGGTAGGATAGCCCTCGACGCCATAGTCCTTACACAGATCACCCTCAGCCGTGCAGTCGACTTTCACAAGAGGGATGTTCTTCTCTTTCAGTGTGGCTGCGGCCTCTTCATACTCGGGTGCCAGAGCTTTGCAGTGGCCGCACCATGGAGCAAAGAACTCGGCCAGGACCAAGTCATGTTCGGAGATGAAATCTTTGAAGTTGTCTGTCTTCAGATCATGGACGTCGCTTGCTGAGGAAAGGCCAGCAAAGGCAAGGCTGATCGCAGCCAGAGATGCGATTGATCGCATGATGGGAGAACTATTAGAGCCGGATGTGCAGTGGGGAATAGAGTGATCGTGGACGGTTTGGGGGGACACAAAGGAATGGAAAGATCGGACAGATGGTTCAGATTCAAGGTTTCTGAGAAGTCAAGGGGACACTGAACCCTTTATTCTCAAGGCACAGTTTCTGATAGAGTGAATAGTACCGCCGCTCTCCCTTCATTGAGGAGAGGTGTCAACTACTTTTTTGGGGGGCTTCACCAACAACTCCACACGGCTTTCGCCTTTCAGCTGCCGCCCCCTTTCCGCCGACTCGTTGACCCTGAAACGCGGAGTTGATAATCAGGGGTCCATTTCCACCCAAGCCACCTTTTCCCACTTTACACAGCATCAATAGGCTTTCCGTGAGGGATACTTGGTATCAGTGCCCACAAAGCATTTCACCTTAAAAAAAAAATCACCAACGGCCCTGCAATTGCGTTTGGAAAGCCGATGCCGATCTCAGATGTGGGGGGAGTCTGATTGGACGGACTTTCTATGCAGCACAGAAAGCAAAAAGACAGCCACATTAGCAAGGCGTATGTTGCCTGGTATTTCTAAGCAACGATGATCATCTGGAATTCCTCCAGGGTTCCGGGTATCTAAGCCACACTTCGCTATCACCTCGAGCCACGCTCTTGCAAGAGCTAACCTCAATCTTCCTCCTCCGAGAGCACTATCGTGGGTATCGTCGTATATCTAGTGTCATCTCTTGCTTTGCGGTGTCCTTCGAGCTCCAATGCCATTTGATACGCTTCAGCCTTTCCTCGATCAACATCGACCAACAACATCAAAGGCAGCGGGAGGAAGATCAGTACTGCCAAAAAGACAAATGCAGGTCGTATTTCGCCGTATCGATCCGTAATGGCGCCAACAATGGCTGGACCAAAGATGCTGGACCCTTTGTCTGTGATTGCGTACAGGGCGTAGAATGCGGCCTCAAACCCAGGCGGGATCAATTCGCCAAAGAACGCTCGGCAATATGACGATAACCCACCAAGAACGAACCCGTAAATTGCCCCCAATGGATACATCTCCCATGGCTGCTGCAGGCCAAAGACGCCGTATCGTTTGATGGCAGGAATAAACCCCAAGAGCCCATACAACGGAATGATCTCAAACAAGCAGATGCACGCGACAATCGTCCTAGATGCGCGAAGGTTGAAAATCCGAGAGATAAAGCTCCAGTAAAATGCGCCAATGACGCCCGCAATCGTTGCAATAACGTTGATCAAGCCAAGGGCTGGGGTGTTCATTCCAAGACTCGTTTTGGCGAAGAGCACTGCTGTCCTGCATTCTCTTAGCAGTGTATTCTTCGTGACCTGGTAAGGGTTCAAAAACTTACCCGCTCACCGTGGCAATGCTGTCGCTGAGCAAAAACCAGGCGCAGAGAAAAATCACGATATCCTTCAGTTTTCTGGCGTGTCCAATTGTTGTGAATAGAGCTTTCCAAGCATATGTCACGTATGACACCCACGCGTAGCGGCCTGTCAACTCACTTGGTAGAGGCGGCCCTGGTCGTGGTCGCAACCAAAGCGCTGCTGGAATGCTGAATACAAACCACCATAGTCCCACCAGCAGGAGAACCAGTCTCAAGGATAGGAGTGTGGATTTTGTTGCGGCCACTATGCCGATACCAATAATTTGCACAAATAAGCCAGCAATATATCCAATGCCAATGCCATTTGACGATATCTTGGTGGATAGCCTGAGGGCAGGCGAGATCGCGGCAGGCGATTCTTCGGAGGGGGAGGCATCGTCGGCGCGGTCTCGAGGTAGGAGGCCTGAGGTCGAGCTCGTCAGAGCGTGGTCTTCGTGTTCCATATATTCGTCATTATCGCCCGTTGCCTGGTTCTCTTCATTTTCACGCTCGATAGACGGGTGGTGTCGTACCAGCAAGGGCAAGAAAGAATTCAGCAACACAAAAGACGCCCCAAAGCATGTGTTGGCAATGATGGCGAAGAGCGCTCCCAGCAAATAGACCTTTGGTATGACGGTGATGAAGAGGGCAGTAGCTGTCGCTCCAGTAAAGGCGAAGGCGAGAAGGAATGTCTTCCGAAACCTGCCGTGATCGGCTGCTGCAGACATAGAGATGATCAGGAGAGCTTGGATCAGCACGCTGATTGAGAAGGTGTACATGGCAAAACTGGCAGTGTTGATCTCGGCGCCCAGGATGTAGACGACACATGCAGGAAGCTCATTGTGCGGGTGTTTGGGAGAATCGAAGACGGTTTCGTTCGGCGATGTGCCATGGTCCGTTTTCCAGCCTGCGCTG